ACCTGTGCCCCACCCCCAGGAACGCTGGCTGTCAGAGGGTGCACCACCACTCTCAAGGGGTGCATGTGCACCCCCATGAACCTCCTATGCATCGCCACTGCTTGAATGGATTTTAAGGGAAATACAATAGGGTTCAAGGCTATCACATGTGCTCAAAGCAATAAAATATCGTAAGTTTTTCCCTGGTGTTGGAATATATTCCTCCATGAAACTATAAGCCATAATTTGTTAAAGGGGGCTTGTAAAATCTGTCAATGTATTCATACAGCATTTTGGGGTATGGATACACGTACATTTGGAGGATTTCAAAAGGGCAACAGCTGTTACTATCTGATTGCTTTTGTATGGACAAGCCGGAAATGATACAAACGTAGCAAAACCACTCAAAATTTAACATTGCTTAATTCAGGGTTGAACTTGGACCAGTTTGCTACATTTGCATCATTTCCGACCTGTCCACATGTACCAATTAAAATGTAACAGCTGCTGGCCTTTTGAAACATTCCCACAATTACATGATGCGGTAAGTAAATGAAAATCCTGAGGAAAAATGGAGTACATGAAGAAACCTGATCTGGCAGATGGGAAACAAAACTGATAGAGAATGGGAAGAGAGATGTGTGTGTTAAATCTTAAATCAGGCAGAAGGCATAGTAGATTTCCACCTTACAAACTAAATCAGAAAATGGAAAGACATTGCTGAAACACTTCTTGATGCTTGAAGTTTTTCTGGAAGCAACTGCAATTTCACAAAACCTGAGAGGATGATGTTTACCGCTCCACTACATATGGAGGGCTTAAAGAGATGTACAATATTTTCTGGGGGAGGGGGCGAGGATCATGAAAGAACAGCAGACAGGTAAGAATTTGTAAAATGGTAAATAAGGGAAAATAAGCAAGGGATTGGGAAGAAGGGGAGAAGAGAACAGCTGGGAGAGAAAAGTTAGCGCCAGCAGAAATTTCAGTATCCTGTGATATAGGATTTACCATTCTGAGGACCTACAAGGCTGGCAGCAAACTGTGCAGATTGAGGCAAATGGAGATAAGAACTCTTTTTCCTAAAATAATTCACCTTAGAATATCTGAGTGCAAGGGTGAAGTTCCAGTATTATCAGTGGCACCAGATATTACAAGTGAATGTGAGGCATGCTACACCCTTTGCATGCTAACTGCGTGGTCAGTAACCAGGGGTGGAATGGGCAAATACAACACCATTTAAAAGAGTCTTGTAGTTGCCCTTGTCCTTATGGCTAAGAACAGGCAGTCCAAAACCACAGGGCTGAATCGAGTCAATCTTTGCAGTTTAGTCTAAACTGTGTAGATTGAACCAATGAACAAGTGAACAGACATACACTTTTGATTCCAGAAATGCATCCACATGCCTGCAGTGGCCCAGGCCAGAAGCCCGGGTGGGGGGAAGTGGGGGAGGGGGAGGTGCATTACAGCATGCCTCCCTGCTCTGATGAAGCAGACAGATTGGGCCAAAGCTAGCCCGCCCACCCTGTAGGGGTGGGGAGGTGTTGAATGAGAGTTGCACAGTATCCTGGGGTCCTGAGGAACTGTGAGTTAACTTGAATCTAGAAGGGATCTGAGACAGAAGTTCAATAAACCCATTTAACCTAAATTAGTTAAGTCTGATACTGCATCCATCCAGGTTTATCGTAAACCAGTTTCAGCCATTTTGAAAGCAGTTTATGTGTGCTGAACTTCTGTTGTGTTACAGAATTTAACGGGCTTTTGATCACTTATACTGGTTTATGTGTAATTTCTGTCCCTAGCCTTAATGAGGCAAGTTGTCATTCCTAAATCCCACTCCCACTTCCATGACTCATAAAGGAAGAACATCATTTTTAAAAGTTTAATCTAGACTTTGAAATGTAAACAAAGTTACTAGAACAGAATGAGCTGTAAGCTACGGGCAGGTGGGAATCCACTTAAGTAAAAATGCTAAATATATGCTCCCATTTCCCACAAAGAGTAACGTAAAGCAGATGAACAGAACAGGCATAAATTTTCCAAGCTCATGCCAATGAAGTTTTAGGGATAGCAGTAATGTATGAAACACTCTTCTATCCTTCCTGTACATTAATATATTTGAATCTGATGAATAAATACATTTTATGGGTAATTCAGATGTCTCTTCTGGAATTCTATACCTCCTTAGAACTTAGTGACAGATAACTAGCTCTGTAAAGAAAGGCAAAAGCATTGATGAACTGCAGAAAATAGTAAATTATGCAGTAAAAGTGTATTCTGCACTGTTTTTGGCGTGTTTCCTGAAAATTATCATTGTGACATGACAATTAATTTTCATGAGTAGGGTCCTTATCCCTTGATTCCATCTTCCACAGGTCAGACCCGGAAATACTTCCTTCAATGTTACCTTTCTATTTCATGTAATTCATTTCAGCCTTAGTCTCCAGCTTTATTAATCTATTTTTTAATGCCTCTTAATCATTTCTCTCTGCCTTGCATCTACCGCAGCAGCCTACTGATGCTGTATTGAACAGTACAGTCTATCCCATTTTTCCCTTTTTAGTTCCCTTTTATAATCCTACTTTCATGTTCACGTCTCAGCCTCTTTTCACCATTGTATTTTTATAAGTATTAATAAATTATTTATAGTCATAAGTTGTTAAATTATCTGATTTCTTTTTATTATTACCCCAATTGACTGTTATTCTGGTTAATATGTCACCAGAAAAAAAAAGGTGATAACACTAGTATCTGATTTTCCTTTCCCCACACATTGTTATAGAATGTTACAACAGCTCAGGTTCCTAACCTTGTCTGGGAAGTTTTAAAGGATCTTAATTTATTTGATTTAGTCAGAAAGAATCATTCTCAGATGACAGAAATAAGAATCTCTTTCTACTTACTGCTTACTGGGTATTATTATTAAAAACAGTGGTTTAATTATGCATACTGCACATTTGAAATCTGTTTGTAAACCAATGAACTCCATGCAGATGAATAAAGTCAAACGGTGATCTGTACATAGTTTCATAGTAGCTAGGGTCAGGAGGGACCTGAACAGATCATCTAGCCTGACCCCCTGCCACAGGCAGGAATGAATGCTGGGTTCACAAGACCCCAGACAGGTGATCGTCCAACCTCCTCTTGAATTTGCCCAAGGTAAGGGCAAGGACCACCTCCCTGGGAAGTTGGTTCCAGATTTTGGCCACCCTAACTGTAAAATATTGCCTTCTGATCTCCAACCTAAACCTATTCTCCATCAGCTTACATAGGAGGTCATTTGTAGGATCAAGGTTACAGATAAACCACTCTGCAGAATAGATTATAATTTCAATAAGACAAGATAAACAATTGTAAGACAAATCATAGGATGAATGTTATAATGGCTTATTTTATGATGAGTTTTTGGAAGAAGTAAACCCTTAACAAAAGAGCATGCTGAAAAATATATTCTACATCAGTGGGGAGGAACCTTTTAAGGCTGAAGGCCAGATTCACCCAGTTTGGGTAGAGTAGGGTAGTGAGCAGGCACTAGGACCCAGTCATTACTACCACTTTCCCTGGTGGTGACATGCAGAGAGCACCCACTGCTGGGGGTTTCCGTGATTGCTGCCCAAGCCCCCACATCTATAGACAGCATCAAGTGGTCCTGCAGGCTGGTTCTCCAAGCCATCTGCTCTACATCTATTCCTGTTTCCAATTTATATTATACTGGGGTGAAGGAAAACAGCATTTTCCATATCTCTTCACAGGGCCTGTTCAGGGTCATGGTTGTAATACCATGTAATAAAAAGATGTACCATTACACATTTCTCAGTGTGTCACATATGAAATACTTGAATGTCATGTGTACTTTCTAATTCACTTTATATTCTATCTCCATGTGTGAGGGGAAAAAATCCCTCAAACTCAAGATGTTAGCAAATGTTGCTGGATTTAATCCCATGACATACTGTTCTTACATAATGACTGAACAGCATTTTAAAAGACACTTAATAGGAGCTTTGAAAGATGCAATGGCCACATCTACACATGTGCTTTACTAATTATCTCTGCAGTAAACCGTCACCATCTGCACATGCACCCCTATCAGGCCATATTACATTAATTAATTCGCCATGTAGGATAGTACTGTCTGGGACAAGTACTGACCTACAGCGCAGTTTAGTGCACTTGAAATGCATGTGTAATTGGTGATATGGGCTGGCTGGGGTATAAGGATGATACAGTACAGGGGCTGCCAGCTGGCTAGCCCCTCACTGGAGCAACTTTGTGCCCCTGGCAGCCCCTCCACAGCATATTGAGCTGGAGCAGAGCAGCTCTGGGGCTGGCAAGCTGACCCTTCAGACCCTCTGCCAGCCAGGGCTGCACCACCCCAGCTCAATGTGCGGTGGTCCCACATGTGAAAACATTGCGCTTGGGAGCAGTAAATTCTGGTGTGAACTGCACTGGAGTTTATTGCTACATGCTAATTACAGATGTAGATGTGCCCAGTAAGATTTATGAATGGGATATACATTTTGCTTGTGAGTTCCAAAGCCTTAAAAGTCAGAGTTGATGGCCTGTCCTCTTTTCATCTACCTTCACTTTGTTACAAAATGTGCATGGTGAATTTTATGGAAGATCCATATTTGTATTTCCATGGGGAAAAAACCCATCTAACTTAACTTTAGTTTCATGTGGGGCCTAATCTCACTGCCTAATCTTTTTAAAAAGCAAATAATTTTAGAGCATCGATTTTTGAGTGATCCGTGTGATACACCATAAATCTTCCCGATTTTAAGAAAGTTAATGCTCAAACAGGGCACCAAAAATTGAGGCATATATATTACTTATCATGCTTGACCCCAAACTGGTTTTAAATTGTTTATTGAGTCTTGGAAACCTTCCATCTTCATTACCTACCATTTTGAAATGAACAAACTTTAGCACCTTAAAACACTACCCATTGTACATCCTGAAAATAATTTTATTCACTTCCCAAAACAAAATAGAAGAAAACATTTGATGTTGTAATCCTTTACCTTATCACACAGGAGGCTGTTATTTTTGGTGCCTGCTGCATAGCACTCACAGGGCTTACAAACATCGATGGCTGAAAGATCTGCACCTGCTTGCCGGTAATGGAAATCCTTACACAACTCACAGTTTCTTCCTGCATGAGGGAAAGGTTATGCATTATGGCTTCCAATTCATTAAAATTAGCTGTATAATTCAAAATTAAAGACTCTATTCCTTTGAGAGAATTCTATAATTTTCAGGACGTCCATTTTAATGCACCTTTCATCTCTACCTGCCAATTTAGTGATCCAGAGCATATGAAACAATGAACCTGTTACAAACTATGTTTTACTCCATTAAACTTCCATCTGTTATATAATACCACACTTTTATAAAGCTTTGCTATGTGCATGCCTATACATTTTTGGACAAATTACTTTGAACCTCAAGCTTTCCCCTATCTTTTCATTGGCAAAGCCAAGAATACTGAAAGGTATGCAAACTCTCTACATATACAGCATGCACATTTTTACTCTGTAAGAAAGAAGTTGATATTTTACCAAAAAATCTCCAATATTTTCTATACCGTACCTGATTTGATGGGCCTGTCATAAATGTTGTGCATCATGACTAATGAAAACCATTTTGTCACCTCACCTATATAGTCCCTTGGGATATAATGCTCATGGAAGATTTTATACAATCTTTGACAGCATTTTAGTGGCAATTGTTTGTCTAATTGAAGTGTTCCCATAATTCTAACATCTTGATGATGTTCACCTCTTACCTTAAAAGAGGTGAATTTTCTTATGAGGCATCATTATTGGACTTCAGAATTATTTTCATTGTTATGATGGTCCTCACAATGATTACAAAATAAGCAACTATATATTGTGTTATTGCTTGCAAATTACCTGTTGTGTTATGTTGACAATTATCACATATTCCACCACCACCTCTATCATATTCATTAGGAAAAGGATCCAGTGTCACATCATAGTGGCAGCTTACTGCATGGCTATAGCACTGACAAGGTTTGCAATTATATGCATGAACTTGGTCCCCTGAATGAAAAGGCTTGTCATTATATAGTGGCAAGCAGCGGGCACACTGAAAGAAAACAAAAATGAGTTTTTGCTTTAGAAGGACATCTTTGTACTCTACAGATTCATATTGCATTTCATATCTTTTTTTCTCATTTAATTGTTAAACATGTTGGCATAAGACCTTTTTTATATATATAGAATCAGGCACAGAACAACAAAGGATATATTTTAAATGATGCAGCTCTCACAAGAATTAAGTTTGAAGGTAAAAGGGAGGAAGGAGAATAAAATTAAAAATACCAAAAGCCAAACTCAGCATAAAGCCCAGATTTATTAAAGTATTTAAGTACTGAAAGATGCAAATGTCTGCAGAGTGGGATTTAGGAAGTGGGCAGGAAGAGTTATTTGCTCACATTCTGCTGCCCACTGTTTTACAATTACATTATGGCAGGTTTCTCCATAGCTACATAATGCAAGAACTAGACTCCTTGAACATTTCCTCAACTACGATGCATCAACACAAGTCTAGCCATAATCTAAATGCATACACTATTTTATATTAAAACATTTCACAGCTTGATAATACAAATATTATATTATTATAGCATAAAATAATCAACATTTTAAGTATGCAAAAGTGCACATTCGTGTTCTAAAAATTGTGAAAGATCATTATTCACTTAAAAGAATTGGGCATATTTGTACGCATCCATCAACTGAGTATACTGTATTTAATTTTGTTGCAATTTTATCTGTATTTCAACAGTGATTCTTAATACAATGTGAAATACAACACTATTATGGTATTAGTTAACCAACTACCATTGTTTATAGAAATGTTTTGGGACAAAATGTTTCCTTATCTAAAATTTTCTTATTTCTTCAGATTTACTTAGGAGGTACAAGGATTAGTCACTTTAAAGTTATTCATTCATTTAAAATCACAAAGAATAAAACTATTAAAAATGCAACACAGTCCTGAAATTCCTATCCATGGTTCAATGAAACCAGTCTGGCATTATCAGTAACTCTGAAGGTCATGAAGTGGAAACAATCTCAAGTTTGTCTTGAGATTCTACAAAACTTCAAGAGGATTTATCATAGGTATAGACCACAATAAATGGAGAGCACTTTGGACAACTGCATTTGGATAATACTGAGAAGATCCAAATGACATTTAAAAAATTGAACTGTTAATAGAGGTGTACCGATACATCAGTCTGATATCAGATTGGCACTGATATAAAGAAAATATTCTGTATTGGAAATCGACCCAATGTGGCCAATAATTTGTCCAATAAATGCCTGTGCATGCGTACAGCTGCAGCATAGCACGTAGGTGGTGAGGAGCAGAGCCTGGCAGTGTGGAGTACTGCGTGCAGCTGGTAAGTCTGATGTGGTGGAAGTGGTGTGTTGGGGGGCAGATGAAGGCCCCTGCAGTGAGGGAGGGAATGGGGCAGGGGCAGGCACTGACCAGTCGCGGCGGGGAAGCACGTGGGACAGAGCCACAAGCAGCTCGTCCATGGGGTGGGAAGGCATGTGCCCCCTGGATCTGTGCAGCGCAGGGCAGGCCAGACGAGCATCTCCCTTCTTGTCTCAGCTTGGATACTCAGTGTCTCCCCCCCTTACACTGGGACCCTGGAGCTCTGGTCCCAAAAAAGCCTTGCAGCACACCAGGTGCCCATAGGCTGGGTAGCTGCCAGCAATGCTGAAACTGCAGAGGCCATAGGGTTACCTTCGTGCAGGTCCAGTGACAATATTCTTCCCCCTGTCACCCTAACTCAGCAGAGGTGAGCCACCCACACTGGCTCCTGATTGGGGGGTGGAGGGGCCAAGCTGGGGTCCAGGTGCCTGGCTCTGGGGTCTCCTGGGTGGGTGTACAGAAACCAGGGCTGGGCAAGGAATGCCTGGGAATGCCTAGGAGGGCATGCCAGTGCCAGGGTTGGACTCCCTCAGGGCTGTGCCTGTGGAGAGGGCAGGTTCTCCCAGGCTCTGCTTCAAGTTTGTGGGCTGATTCATGATGGGATGGGGGCTCACGGACAGGGGACAGAGGTGCCCTGGTGCCAAGGCTCGTGCAGGGACAGACCCCCTCTCCCACCACAGCCTGGCTGTGGCTCATAACTGGCCAGAGGGAGGATGTGGGGCTGAGGACAGAGGCTTTGCTGACTCTTGTCAGTGACAGCTCAGGGGCAGGGCTGGCCCAGTGCTGGGCCAGAGCAGAAGAGTTCTGGCTGAGGCTACAGTGCTCCTCTGCCAGAGCGGGGAAGGAAGTGCCACAAAGCCCCATGAGATCCTGGCAGAATGCGACCTACCTTGACTTGCAATGGGATCTAGCACAGACATTTAATAAAGTACTCCAACCTAAAACACTTTAATCTGATACCATCCATCCAGGATGTGGTATCAGAACATGATCTGCCATTTTTGAAGCACCTTATGTGCCATGACCATCTGTTTGGTTACATCTGTAGAGCACTTTTTGCGTGCTTATTGCATGATAAGTGTAATGTCTGTACTTAGCCACTGTTTTTAAAGCCTAGCAGGTTTATATCAAGTGCAAGTTCTACTGTGGGAAAGTAAAAAAAAAAAGGTTTATAAAGTGTTTCAATTACCTACAACAATAAATACTAATGGGAAAGGTGCAACAGGAGAAGAGAATGAATTAGACCAAACAAGGGACTACTGATATTAGGAATATTACCCTATTCCTAAATACTATAGCATTTAGAGTAGGATATTTACCTTGCATTAACTGATGCCCAGATCAATCCTAATCTTTTATTCCAAGCTACATAAAATTCTGTATGACTCTAGAAATCAGTTTGTGGTTACAGGGTGCACATGGCATGATATGGGCACAGGAAGAGCAGTATGAAGTAAGAAATGTAAGCATGCAGATCCTGACAGGTTTTTTTTTCTTCATATCATACATTGCTGTAAGGTTTATTTACTGAATAAGCTTTCAAAAAATCAAAAAATACTAAATGAAAAAAATATTGAGAAAGTTACAAAAGAAATACAAAAAAAAAAGGCTTAAAATGGCTTGGTGGTTCTATTTCCTTTAGGGTATTTGGACATAGCCCTCTTTACAACACATGATCCTTCTTTCAGACCCCATTCTAGTCCTGTCCCATACACCCAAAGGTAGAAATCTGTGTAATGTTACAATCTTTTAAAAATCACTGATGACTGTCAAATTTATACTACAATTCTATTTTTATTTACTTTTATTTTTACTCAACTTTAATGCTTTTTTGCAAATATTACAAATAAGTTTTTAATTAACAACAGATATGTTTACATTATCTTTCAAGAAAGACAGAGGGACATTTAAAATAGCTCCCTCAGGACACTGCTGTTTCTCATATTTAAGCTGCCAGTAACAATTGGCCTCATGCATTAACATTGTCAGATATTTTTGGTCATTGTTTAAAATTACCACCTTAAGCAGGAAGTCATAGCATACCATTACAGTAGTTGTCACGTTTGTGCATATTCAAATATATATATGTTAAATCCCTACTGAATTTGCCAGATATTTTTCATCAGCATTTGAATTCCATTTGACTGTCATCCAAATTCTAATTTCTGGCAAGGAAACACAGAGCCCAGAATGTGTGCTTGTGTAGGCAAAGAGGAGTTTATTCTTATTTTCTTAAATGTGACATCTTTAGCAAATATTATAGCTGAGATCTAAAGAGATAGCCATAGAATTTGACTGATTTTAAGGGGATTTTTTGTCCAAATCCCCTAAAAGTCTTTTGAACTCTCAACCTATATGTCATTCCCTTACATGGGGAATGACAACAAAGTGCTAATTATTGAAAGAATGTCCCTTTTCTTTCCACTGATATTTCTGAAGTTAGTAAGCCATGTTACATCTCCTTGGCTCAGTCTGTGAATAAGAATGGAAAAATATGTCCAGTTTGATATGTGGTAAATGAACCTTTACTTTCTCTGGGAATGGTTTTCTAGGAAAATGCATTACATGAAGTCAGCTGGCTCAAAATATCTAGCTCATCTTGACCCAATTCATTAGTCAAAACAAGACTTTATTCTAATTTATCATTTTATCACAATTCCTGAATCCAGCAAATGTGCGGATAGTCCTAGTGACATAAGCTTGAACATACATGTACTGAGCTCCCTATTAATCATTAGGAATGCTGGAGGACAATAAGCTGCAAAGTAATCTTCAACTTATCAAGAATGCAGAATGTACTTGAAAAGGTACCAGTATTTTACCATAAGTGGTACTTAATCAAGCCGTTCTTCCCTAGTTGTTCAAATGTTCCATTCCACTGCTTACCTCTGGATGGCATGCTTATTTGTTTCAACATGTTATTTATACTATACTCCCTTTCTATATAGAAACTATTACACAATTCTTTCCATCTTTAAGTATAATATCCTGAATCAAATTTACCGTTCCATCTCAAATCCATAAGCCTAGATATTCTGACTGTGACAATGATCAGCATAAAATTACATTACATAATATTAGAATACATTAAAAGGGGCTTCAGAGGAGATCTAATACCTATAGACCGGTGAGCTGAACTTCTATTCCCAGCAAGTTGGTTGAAACTATAATTAAAAAAACAGTATTGTTTGTCACATAGATGAACAGGACTTTCTGGGAAAAAGTCAACAAGACTTTTGTAAAAGGACACACCTCACCAATTCCCTTGAGTTCTTTGAAGGCATCAAGCAAGCAAGTGGTCAGGGTGATCCAGTTGATAGGGTGTATTTGGACTTTCAAAAAGCTAGTGACAAAGTCCCATACCAGAGGCTTCTAATAACATTACTCTGTCATGGCATTAGAGGCAAAAACAGCAACTAGATAAATTACGTATTCACCTACCTAATTCTCCATCAGCACCATATCCTTTGGGTGCTTTCCCAATATTCCAAGTACATCAGGCATTTTGAAAAAGGAGCTGTATGTGAGACCCAATACCCAATTAGTTAAGGTACTCACTTGGAAAAAGGGGGAGGGGGAATCTGTTTTCAAAAAAACCCTTTAAGTCTGATTTGGAGCAGAGAGATGAACCTAGGCTGAAC